GAGGGAGAGAGAATCCCAAGCAGACTCCGGGCTGAGCGTGGAGCCCAGCGTGGGGCTCGATCTCATGACCCTGAGGTCACGACCTGAGCCAAAACCAAGTCAGAGGCGCAGCCGACTGCACCAGCCGGGCGCCCCGGTTGCCAACATTTTAAATTCAAGACTTTTCTTTCCTTTTTCCAAAAATCAGGAGACTTGGCAACTTGGGGCCTGACCCTGCTCTCCCAGAGCTGAGTGGCAGTGGCCCCCTTTCAGACAGGGCAGGAGCTTCTGGAGGAGGGGATCCCTCTGCCCACAGCTGAGTTCTCTGCTCGTGCATACACTTCGTGGCCCCCAGAGGCCACCCCATTTTGTGACCTTTGGTTGGGTTAACCCTCTGAGCTGAGGTACTATATGAAGGTTATCAACAGGCTAACTAACCAGCCTGCCCTTCAGTTCCCCAGAAGCCCACGGGAGAAGGAAAAAGACTATGATTAGGGAAGAAATAATTAATTTAGATTTAAAGGAGATCTATCTTAGCAGCCTACTGATGATGCACATACTGACTTCTGTGGGCAGGTCTTTGAGAACTGAGGTCATATCCCCTGAGTGAAGTAACTCTAAGTGGAGTAGTGAGCTATTTTAGGTACACTCTCAAGTCATTTAAGCATTTCGGTTGGTCTGCTGACACATTTCCCATATTTCAGAGTCCACTGGATAGTCCTGGGCCATGACAGCACCCCATCCCAAAGTTCTAAAGGAAAAAGGATTTTGCAGTGGAATGTTCTCAAATAGAACAGAAACATCCTCCAGCCAGTTTCTTGTTGCCATTGCCGGGGGGTGGGGTGAGGGAGTGGTGCTGGGGGGGTGGGGAGGGGAGTGTCTTCTGCTGCTGCCAACCACAGCTTATCAAAAGCAGGACAGGAAATTGGGGTTTGTTGCACCAAGGTCAAGCCCCCTAGGATTCCCAGCTTCCCTCCTTTGGCTCTGGTCCTGTCCTCCTGTCTCCCAGTCAGTCAGCTAGGAGAAAGGGGCCCAGCACTCACCCAAGGATACATACTTGCTCTTAACTTACTGCGTGTTGCATTATAAGCATTTTTCAATGTTGCCACATAGTTTTGTATAGTTTGTGGTTCTAAGTGGCTGTTTCATAGTCGGCCTTGTAGACATGTCATAACTTACTAACCTGTTCCCAAGTGAGGGACACTGGAGGTGCATCCTTTTGCTGTTACAAATATCACTGTGATGAATAGCTGCCTCCGGTTGGTGAGCTTTTTCCCATGCTATTAGGAAAGCTTAAGATAACAGAGTGCATATAATTAGAGGAATTTATAGCCACCCAGTTTTGTAATAGTTTGGTGTAGGTTCAAAACATTACATAGTTTCATACAGTCTTTCCCTGTTGGGGTCCTCCAGTTACCCCTAAGCCCTGACCCTATGTTGTCTTTTTTTAAGATTTTGTTTATTTATTCGACAGAAAGAGAGAGAAAGTACACAAGCAGGCAGAGGGAGAAGCAGACTCCCCACAAAGCAGGGAGCCCGACGCGGGGCTCGATCCCAGGACTCCGAGATCAGAACCCGAGCCGGAGGCAGCCACTTAACCAACTGAGCCACCCAGGCGCCCCGACTTTTTTTTTTTTTCCTTTAGATTTCCCTATACAAATAGCCCTGGCTTCTCTTTTGCCAGAGCTATTCCTTCCACGTTTGTGTATCTCCCTTTCCTGTCCATCTTGCTCATGCACTGGGAGGCAATATCCTTTTATTCAAGGCCTATCCCCTCGGCTCAGCTGGCCCCTGAGACTTTGTCCAGAAGAGTACTGACCATGCTTTCCCCTGACCATCTTCTGAAGGGCCTCCCTCCCTTGCTTAGCCCTTCACAACCCACAGGACCTCCACCTCTCATGGTTGGGCCCCAGCACCAAGCTCTGGTCACAGTCCTGCCCTGCCCTTGGTCCTGGGTGTGCACAGTTTTGGGTCCTCCCCGCTCTGGAGACTTTTTTGCATTTGTTGAATTCTATCCTGGGGATCCTCGTGATCAAATTGCCCCTCAGTCTGCATCCCTTGTCAGTCTGCAGGGACACTGAGGAGAGGGTGATGGGGTGGAGAGTCACAGGACCCCAGGTCCAGGCCTGGCAGACCCCTAATTGCTGTGCTCCTTCCCTGAGCCTTAACTGCTCATCCTGGAAATGAGAGGCAGTGGACAAGGTGTTTTGAAGGTCAGCGAGCCCCGTGGCAGGCCAGGGTTCAATCTCAGAGGATCGGAGGTAGGAAAGTTCCCTCTGGGGCTCTTAGGCCACGTCTTTTCTTCCTATTTATTTATTTAAATTTAAATTTTATTTTCAAGTAATTTCTGCACCCGACGCAAGGCTCAAACTCACAACCCTGAGATCAAAAGTCGCATGCTCTACGGACTGAGCCAGCCAGGTGTCCCTGGGTCTTTTCCCTTTAAAGGGGCTCTGTTGGTACAGACACGCTGGTTCACCGGGTCAGTGAGGTCTTTTGTATAATGTTGTCCCAGCCGTTGCTAAATCATGAATTGTTTATTCTGAATGTGGTTGCCGTTATAATGACTAAGATTTGACTGATGTTTTCTCTGGATTTATTTTTATTTTCTCTTCCACAGGGTGGTCCAGGCGGTTCCAGCACTGGATTTGGAAACTTCAAGGAAATAGGGCCTCTTGATAGTGATCTCAAACCACGAAGAAGTACCTGGGTACAGTGAGCACAGCCCCTAAGTGCAAGTGCCCTGTGGCCTCCCCAGGGCTGAGGCCCGCCCCCCCCCCCGCCCTGCCCCATTCTGGGTGGGGTCACAAGTCTAGCCATCCTGCCCCGTCCCTTTCCCCATGTGTCCTGGGGCCTTGCGCACTTGTCCATTTGCTTCCTCTCTGGCCGTGCCACATCATTGAGCTTTCTCTCCACTTGGTGGCAGAAGCCTATTCTAGCTGGCACCCTGGACTTTGACACTTCCTACATCTTGGCCATCTCTCTAGTCCAACTGCAGGGTCCCCGCCTCCGGCCACAACCCTCAATCCTGTCCCCTCTCCTCTCACCTGCCTTGCTTCTTGACTCCATCAAGACCTCAGACCCCTTGTCCTCTGCCCTTCTGGTGTCTCTCTAGTTCTGTCTCCCTCCCTCCCTCATTCTAGTTTCACTTCCTGCCGTAACCCCTCACTGCTCAACCCCTGGCTCCTTCATCCTTCTCCCGGATCAGCCCTGCCACCCCCAAGCTTGGGTCAGCCCCACTGTCCACCTGCTTGGCTCCTACTCCCAGGTGCTCAGCCCTGGTGGCCAACGCCGTAGCGGGTGGGGCTGTTGCCTGGCTGTGGGGTTCACCCGGGCTTAGGGCCGCCTCTGCTGTGTGCTGAGACTCTGCTCCCCTCCGTGTCTGACCTGTCCCCCTGCCTCCCGGGAGAACAGAGCCATCCCCTGTGACCAGCTATGCCCTGTCCTCGTTAGTAAGTGCTTTACCCCTCTGTCCCCCAGTCTCGCTCCCAGAACAACACCTGAGGCTCCTCTCTGCTGACATCCTTTCCTCCAAGAGTCCACTCAGTTACTACCTTTCTCTATCCTTATGCCGTCTCTAGGCTCTCCCTGGGATGCGGGCATGCACAGGTTTTCCCCAGCCTACTACACCAGCCCCTCCAGCTCCCGCGCTTCCTTTTTTTAAGATTTTATTTATTTATTTGACAGCGAGAGAGGGAACACAAGCAGGGGGAGGGGCAGAGGGAGAGGGAGAAGCAGACTCCCCGCTGAGCGGGGAGCCCAATGTGGGGCTTGATCCTAGGACCCTGGGACCATGACCTGAGCCCAAGGCAGATGTTTAACGACTGAGCCACCCAGGCACCCCGCTCCCGCCGTTTCTTAAAAGAATTCTTTATCCAGGCAAACCTCGGAGATACTGCGAGTTCGGTTCTGGACCACCACAATAAAGCGGGTCAGATGACTTTTTTTATTTCCCAGGGCATATAAAAAAGTTATGCTTACACTATACTGTGGTCTGTTCCACAGGCACTGATGTGATGTGTAAAAAAACAGTGTACGTACCTTAAGGGAAAAGGGCCCTATTGCTAAAATGCTAGCCATCATCTGAGCTTTCCGTGAGCAGTAATCACTGGTTACAGAACACTGTAACCAGTACAATTTTAAACAGTTTGAAATATTGCAAGAATTACTAAAATGTGGCCCAGAGACATGAAGTGAGCAGATGCCATTGGGAAAATGGTAGTGGCCGACTTGCTTGATGTGGGGCTGCCCACAAACCTTCGATTTTTAAAAAGTGCAGTAAAATGAGGTATGCCTCTGTTTACTGCTGTCTAGTCATCTTTACCTCCTATTTATGCCTTCGCCTAGAGTTTTCTGGGCTGGGGGCTGGGGCTGGGGCTGGGGGCAGGAGAGAGTGGGTGCTAGGGAATCCAGAGCACATTAGCTCTAGGACGCAGCACACGGATCTCCTCCATGGCCGCGGTGAGGCTGGGCAGCCCTGCGCTAACCCACCTGACTCTCTCCTCGTAACTCTGCTGGAGCTCTTGTCCCCAGGGGCATGCTGGCTTCCCAATCCCAAGGCCAGCAGATCCTTCATGGGATTCTTTTCATGGATTTCTTTGCCACCCTGTTGGCCTTTCCCGTGCCTTGGATGTTGCTGTGTCCCATACTCTGTCCTTGGTAACATTCTCTTCTGTGTGTTCTTTGGGCAGCCCTGTCCTCTACAACTGCTTTAATGACACATAGAAGGTGATGATGACTCCCAAGTCAGTATCTCCAGCTCAGAACTTTTGGCCCCAGAACTATTTCTCCATTTGCTTCTGAGATGTCTCCATGTCGATGTCCCTCATACATCCCCTGTTCAGCATATCCCAAACTATATTCATTAGTACACCAGACCCTCTGCCCATCCACAAAACCAGCGAACTCCAAGTGTCCCAGTCAGGTGCCTAAGCCAGAAACCAGAGAGCCATCCTTGTCTTCTCCTACCCCTCACCCCGCTCTTCCAATTGGTTTTACCTAAAAATGAATTCTTTTTTCTTTTTTAAAGATTTTATTTATTTATTTGAGAGAGAGAGAGAGCACAAGCAGGGGGAGGGAGAAGCAGACTCCCCGCTGAGCAGGGAGCCCAATCCCAGGACCCTGAGATCATGACCTGAGCTGAAGGCAGATGCTTAACCGTCTGAGCCACGCAAGGTGCCCCTAAAAATGAATTCTTAAAATACAGCCTTATTGAAATATAATTCACATACCATACGACTCACCCATTTGAAGTATACAATTCAGTGGCTTTCCATATATTCAGAGTTTTACAACCATTACCACAATCAATTTCAGAACACTTTCACTACCCTCCCATCCCAGAAAACCTCATACCCCTTAGGTATTAACCACCAGCCCCTCCTTAGGCCACCACCAATAACTTCCCGTCTCTACAGACTTGGCTGTGTTAGCTATCTTATAACTATGGAGTCATACAGTATGTGGCCTTTGGGGTGTGGCTTCTTTCACGTCACATGATATTTACAAGGTTCATCCAGGTCGGATGTGCCACTGGTCCCCATTTTGTAAGGCTGAATAATAGTCCATTGTGTGGATAGACCACAGTTTGTCTCTTCATCTGTTGATGGGCACCTGGGTTGTTTCCACCCTTTGGCTCTGATGACGAGTGCAGGGGATACTGGTGGGCAAACATTTGTTTGAGTTCTTACTTTCGGTTTTGGGGTGCGGGGGGAATCTACCTCAAAGTGGAATTGCTGGGTCATATGGTAACTCTATGTTTAACACCCACGTGCTAAGATTCTTCATCCATCCCTTTTCCATCCTCTCTAGTGGCTGCTTTCAGAGTGCCTTTCCAATAGAAATCACTCCTTAGTTTAATATCTTTCGGTTCCCAGAAGATCAGAGCCAGATTCCTGGGCATAAACTGGTCTCTGCCTACCCCCTGCCCCATTTCCCAACGTCTGTCCATGTACACACTCCCTTCAGGCCCTGCCTGGACAGTTCCTTGGCTTGGACCTCATTCCTTTGGCCCCTCATTCACATCTAGCTTCCTTTACTCACATCTACCATTTAAGACTCAATGTGAGACCACCTCTTCCTTAAGGTCCCCTCTGAGCCCTTGGATTCTCTTTGTCTGTCTCCTGCTGGTCCTTCGTAAGTGCAGTTTACTTCTGCCTCAGGGTCTTTGCACATGCTGTTCCCTTAGCCTGGAACATTCCTGAACTTGCTACATGCTGTAGCTGAGTGCCACACTGGCTTGTTTGCAAGTTTTCCAGAACTCAGAGCATAGCACAAGTCAGGCAGAGAGCCTGGATGAGAAGTGAGGAGGCCCGGGCCTGATGCTGCCATTACTTGTCCAGCTTTGTGACCTTCTTTGGACAAGTCCTGGGTCTTTTCTCAACTTTAATTCCCTGATCAGTAAAGGACATGGCTGGACTGTGTCACCAGTGAGGATCCTTCCAGACCGGCGATTCTATAGCTCTGAGCCACCTTGGAAAAGGTATTAGGGTAAATTCTGTCCTTGGCGGTGTACTGGAGGCCAGGCTTCTGTGGAAATTGGATTCATCTTGAAGAAAACTGCTATGTGATATTCAGACCTCGGTGGGACTGTCACTGCTTTGAGCCGTGGCTCCAACTGATGCCGCGTGGTTCTACCTGAGCCAATGGATTACGTTTAGGATGCCATATTGTGTGAAAAGTGACAGCTCAGGTGCTTTGGTCCCTGTGTGTATGTTAATCTTTCCTTCTTAGCTCTTCTTTTCTTTGCCTTTCTTTGCCTTAGTAGTCTTATGTTCCTGGTCCTTCTTATTTATTTTTTTAAGTAGGCTCCAGGCCCCATGTGGGGCTTGAACTCACAACCCTGAGGTCAAGAGTTAACAAAGCTCTACCAACTAAGCCAGCCAGGGGCCCCTCCTGTCCCTTATTTTTTGAAATCCCTTTTAGCAGTGGGATCATAAGCGCACTGCTATCTTCACGTGCATGGGTTAACACGCATAGAAGATGGTGGAAATAAAAAATACAACATAAAAATAAATTTTAAAAAAAGATGGTGGAAAGATAGTCGGTGGCTAACTGAGTGGTTGTACCACTTGACTTTCCTGTGTGACGTGTAGCTCCAGTCAGCCAGTCTCCTATTTGTGGATAACCCTGTGGGCACTGGGTTCAGTTACGTGAACAAGAGTGATGCATATGCCAAAGACCTCGCCACAGTGGCCTCAGACATGATGGTTCTCCTGAAGACTTTCTTTGATTGCCACAAGGAATTTCAGGTGAGCAGTGACTCGGGGACAGGTGAGCAAAGGGGCTAGCAGTCACCCTGCTGCAGCCATCTGAATTAACTTGTTTCCCCAAGAGTTCAATGTCCAGCCATTATCAGAGAAAACTTTTCTGCACCCGAGAGCATGTTGTGGCCTTTTGTTTCTATCATCTCAAAGTGGTTTTGAGCTTGAAAGAATGACCTTAGAGCCCAGTATTCTAATCAGATATGGGGGAAAAGACCAAGAAAAGCAGATTTGTTTTGTCTGGCCATTACATGTGGTAGAAATTTGAAATTAACCCATGTGGGGGAAAAAAAAAGGCATCAGGGATATTTATTCGTTGTAAATTCCTTTTCTTGCCAGACGATTCCATTCTACATTTTCTCAGAGTCCTACGGAGGCAAAATGGCGGCTGGCATTGGTCTAGAACTTTATAAGGTAATGGGGAAAATGACTTTGTTGTTTGGTTTCAGACAGACACTGATTCTGTTTCTTTCTATATCACCTGATACTGAATGTACTTTGAGTGGGACCTTGTATAAAGTCTAATAATAACCACAAAATGTTTCAAAGAGAACAGTGAAGGTTGCCCTAGCAGATGTGGAACAAGCTATAAAGAAAGCTACAACGAGTAAACCAATGTGGTATTAACGTAGCAGCAGACTAGCGGATTAAATGCGGCAGGATATGATGTGTACATAAGTGTATGTAAATAACGTGTCATGCATATGATCATATGGCATTGTCATATGCGATGATAAGATGGCATTTCAAATCATCGGGCTGCAGGTAGAATATTCCATGAATCGTATGGAAACGAACGGCTCTCGCTTTGAAAAACCGTAACGTGGAATTCTTTCTTTCATGAAACATCAGTTCTGGATAGATTAAAAATCTAAACATAAAAATCAAAACTGTAAGAAAACCTGAGGCTTTCCTTCATTTTTTAAAATTTTTTATTTTCTTTTAATTTTTTTTTAAATGTTTTATTTATTTATTCATGAGAGTCAGAGAGAGAGAGAGAGGCAGAGGCAGAGGGAGAAGCAGGCTCCCTGCGCCCGATGCGGGACTCGATCCCGGGACTCCAGGATCATGACCTGAGCCGAAGGCAGATGCTCAACCATCTGAGCCACCCAGGCGCCCCTATTTTCTTTTAATTTTAAATAATTTTTTTTTTTTAGAGAGAGAGAGTGAGTGCTCGTGAGCCAGGGAGAGGGGGAGGGGCAAAGGGAGAGAGAATCTCAAGCAGAGTGCTCCATGCCCAGCACAGAACCCAACGTGGGGCTCCATCTTACAACCCCAAGATCCTGACCTGAGCCTAAATCAAGAATTGGACACAATGGACTGAGCCACCCAGGCACCCCTGAAGCTTTCCTTCATACGATGGAACACCCAAAAGCCAAAAAGGATAAGGTTGACATATTTAGACCACATTCAAATGTAAAACTTAAGAGTTCCATAGATAATTTCAAAAGATGTATATATATACACACACAAATATATGATAGAAAAAGTATTCATATTGATAACTATAAAAAAGGACAATATCCTAGTAGTGAATTGGCAAAGAATATAAACAAGCCATTTATAGAAAAAATGTAAACAGCCCGTGAAGATAAGACAAATGCTCAACTTTCATTAGTAGCTAAATCTGTAAGGCTTACAAATATTTAGAGATTGATGACACCCAGTTTTGGTAAGAAGTCAGGGAAATAAGTGCTCTCCTGCACTCTTGGTGGGAATGGAGATAGGTAAGTCATTTTAAAAGAGCAATTAGGCAGTCTCTGTCAACTTTTAAAATCTATATGCCCTTGGACCCAATCACTTCAGTTCCAGGAACCTGTCCTTGGGAATTCTTTTTTTTTTATATAATTTTTTTTTAAAG